AAGTGCTGGGTCATTAGGATGTGTTTGTCATTAGGATTTACTCATTAATCACTTTTTTTTTCATCACAAGGGAGGAAAGGGAGATTTCCTTCTTTTTATATTTTAACCTCAAGTAGAAATTTAAATGCAAGACTGGAATCAATTCTGCAGCTCACAAGATTGATTCGCCCAGACCTGAATTTGCAATATTTCCCCTTAAGCAGGCAGTGAGAGCTGCAAGCACTGCAGTATTCCTGGTTTCCCTGTGGTACAGGAGAGAGCTCACACAGAGCCTCCAGCTACCTGCCCTCACACTGATGGACATGGCCATTGCCTGCTCAGGGGTGAAATCTCTAGGCAGGAAGCTCTTGGCAGTGTTTATACAGAAATTCCCTGCAATAGGAGTCTCACAAAGGCACGGTGCAAAGAACAGGGCATATCTGCTGGCTTTGGGTCCGCAGACTCCAGGGCAAAGGGGTGCCAAGGGTAGCTGTACAGAGGAGAAGGTGTCAGTCCTCTTAAACAAGGTGTTTCTGCCACACGTTTGGATGGCCACGTCTCCATCTGCCGCGGGAGAAGGGGCTGTTGGTCACAGTGGTGAGCTCATTAAAGCGAGATCAATAGAGATTTAATCTAATGCCGAGGATTACTCGAAGTGGAATGCTCAATTAAGTGTGGAGGAAAAAAATGCTACACATGAAATGAATTGCCAGCTGATTTCCCTGCTTTATTTGGAATTTAGCCCAATATCAGGGAGGGCTGATAAGCTAAAGCAGAGCGGTGAAAAAACAGCTGGTGCCGGGGGCAGCGGTCAGCAAACACCAGTGAAATGTGCCACATCATTACTCACACATTTTGCAGTGAGCTCCACAGGTACGTAGGGTTTGGCTGGGATTATGTACTTCCAATTTCCACTTTCGTTCACACCAGTGGCTCTAAGAATATTTGAAAGCTGCTAAGGTGAGGATTTGCATAAATGGGATTTGCCACGGCCCTCGGAAAAATGGGAAGAGTTAAGTGAGATGAGTGGTACAAAACTTGTCTTTTCTTGGCAGTTTTTCTGTAATCCGGCCCATTTCTCCCTCCCTGCTCCTACACCCCCCAAAATCGAAACTGCTGCCGCCTCCCCAGCTCCGTCACCTCTCCGAGCAGCGGCCATACAGGGACAAAGAGGATTCTGTTTTGAATGAAACATTTTATTCTCGAGGCACGAAAACGCAGGAGCAGGCAGGGAGCCAGGAAGCAAGAAAAGAGAAACATATTCGTTAATTAAAACAAGCACTGGTTGCTTTGAACTAAGAAAATCATGTTACAAAAAAAATGGAGCGATGAGTTCCCGGCCCCTGGAAGAACAGAACACGCTCCAGCCCCAGGAGGGGCAGCGGCACAGGGAGCTGCGTTGCGGCAGGAGCGGGGAGGAGCGCGGGATGCATTCCCCAAACTCACTAATTGGCAGGCGCGGGGCCCCTGCCGCTCCCAGGGAGAATCCATCCGAACACGAACAGCTCTGCGGCCCGTTGGCACAATATCACAGCGATTTCTTCTTCCAGCAAGTCGCATTTAATCTCTGCCCAGACATTTCAAGGCAGAGCTGTCTTATTTCTCCCGTTACGGCAGGACACCTTCCCACGCCATTCCCTGGAGTCAGAGTTTTTGGGAGCGCAGCAGGACGAGGTCCAGCCAGTCACAAACCTCCCTCATGTGTCGTCTTCTTTTTCTCTATGAGCCCACGATTGCCTCTGAGAAGCTCAGCAATTTGTTATCCTGAATATTCCACCCCAGCTCCTACAATCTGCCCTCCCCTTCCTGAGGAGGGAGGTTAAAAACACCCAGAGGCTGCACATTGTGAGTGGTGGATGAAGCAGTGCTGCCTTCAAGGCTTTCCACATTCCTCTGTGTCCGGGATGGGAAAGGCCAAGCACAGAGTTATCTTCTGCTGCCTTTTACCACCTACCCCTGGCCCAGTTTCTTTGCCATTTATCACTGTTGTTATCACTATTTATCACTATTATTATAATCTCTATTTATCTGTGGTCCAGGGTACACAGCAGGAGTCTTCCTCCCACTCCCCCTGTGCTGTTCTAAAGAGAGGGTGTGCTTTGTAGGGTGGTTCATGATGGAATCATGGGTGGGAAACCACGAGCCGTGGGTGGGAAAGCAGGAATGGCACCTGTGGCTACAGATTCCTCAAAACAACTGACTTTGGTATGTTTTGTTGCAATTCCCCACCAAGTGGGAACAGCAGTTTTGCAGGCCCCCAGCAGCAATCCCTCTGTTCTCTGTTCCTCTGCCTCTGCAAAGTTTTTCCGGGGTTTTCGACAAAGCTTTTTGAACTCAGACGAAGAAGAGCTACACTGGAACTGAGGGGGTTGCATTACCCCATCTGGCCCCAAACTGGGGAAAATGCCTGTGGTATTTGTAGGCTCTCCTGTCATTGCCCTCAGGACCCTCCCAGCTGATCCTGCTGAGAAGAAACTGTGTTCTCCTGGGATTATAATGCAGACAATTCTCACCCCACATCGAGGCCTCTGTAGCAAACTGGAAGAACAACACAAAAACAGAGCTGTGTAGGATGAAACAGAGAGATTTGATGGAAAATTCCTCCAAAATTTTTTCATACGTTGTAGTAGTTTGGTCTGGGCCTTCCTTGGTGACCAGTTTGTAACCAAGGAAGGGCCCAGATTTACCCAGTATTCCCTACGATTTTTTCGTAAGCCAGGCTATAAGAAGAAAGGAGGAAAGGCCTTTGCTCTCTTTCCTTCCGGCGGCTTGGAGGTGCAGGTTCCCTGCTGTTGAGTCTGTCATGTTGGGGAGCGAGGCCTGGTTAGGCCTTGCTGACCTTGGGAGACGGAGGTTGCCGGCGATCGTTCCGGAGCGACTCTCGGTTGTCCCAGGAGAGTAGTGAGCTATTTCTTTGCTAATTCTTTTAGTTGCTAGATATTGGGCTACTAATCAGGATATATATATTTTTTATTTTGGTTTTGTTCCTTTTCCCTTCCCCCTTCCTTTTCCCTTGTGAAAATTGTATGTATATTTTAATTGTATGTAACTGTAACATAAGTGTAAATATATTTATATATATATTGCTTTAGCTGTCTCTCTCTTGTTTCGGTTTTCTTGGTTGTTTTTTTCCCTCTTCTCCCTGAGGTTTGGGGGGGACTTCTTGTGGTAAGGTTTGGAGACTTGGCAGGGAGCCAGCTTCAAACCATATCATACGTTTGTGCAAGGGCATCCTGCAGGACACACTGTGGGATGTGGGGTCCAACATCCTGCCTTGTCCTGTCACTGCCAGTGTCGTGGGACCTGCTGACCTTTTGAGGGAACCAGCAGGGCTGGTGAACCTACCAGAATAATTTCAGTGGCAAAAATCCACACCAATGCTTCTGGCGTCAGCACATTGTCTATAGCTTGTAAAGTCTGGACTAAGAGCTCCAAAAGAGTGGCATTTGAAATGAAAAAAAAAAAAAACAAACCAAAAAATCCTACATTGAGGAATCTAAGCTCCTTAACACCATGACCAACACATTCCAGAGGCCAGCAGGTGTGATACTTTCTGTGGCATGAATAGACATGGAAATGGAATTTGGTAAGAGCTACCATGGGGTGCAAGGCAGAAAAGTTTGAGGGGCTTGCTAGTTGAGTGACAGTGACTACAAAACCCAGAATGCTTTAACCTTGTACAAATACAGCAGATAAATACAAAACAAACAGTGCTCCCTGGAAAAAAAGGGTAAATTATGAGAAAAAAACTCAATATGATTTATGTATAACATTGATCTGTATGCCTGGTACTTTTACAGTCATAAATTCAAGACTTTCTGTAATGTTTTGGCAATGTTTTGTCTTGGGGTTATTTTGGAGCTGTTAGAGACAGAAAGTGCCCAACTTGGGTGACATTTGAAGTGGAAGTGGAGGTTTGCTGGTGCAATTCCACCCCAAACACAGCATCACCTTCCAGTGGCCAAAGGGAATCAGCACTGGCCCCAATGCCTGTGTGATGTGTCAAGTGCCAGGATCAGTCTTCATACAGAAATACCACTGTGGCTCAACACTCCCTTGAGCAGCCGAGCAGTATCTAATGCTTCCACTCTCCATGTCCTTGCTAGAGCCAGCAGCAGGAGAAGCTTTAAGAGATGAAGATAAATTCCCAGATCAGGAGTTTTCAAGGAGAAGAGTTAAGCAGCAGAATTCAACCCGGGATTGGTGCAAATGTGGCGTGTCTGCGCAGCCCTGGGCACCCTGCATTGTCCCCAGTCGTGCAATTCTTTGAAAACAAGCAACTTTTTGCAATTATTTGCTGGCATTCCATGAAAAGCAATGCCCCCTTCAATTCTTCCTTTCTGGGCTTTTTATTGAAACCAGGCAGTCAAAAATATTCCAGTTCTATTGGAAAAAGGACACAAGGATGGTTTTTGCCTGTGTGGCAATTTTCTTCTTCTTGCTCCTGGCGACAGCCTATTCTTCTGCAGGACTTGAACAATAAAGGTCTCAAACAAAGGCAGGTCTCACAGCTGGGGAAAGGACGCTTGAGGTCAGGGCTCCTTCCTTAACCCCCGGTGAGGTCAGTGTCATGGGTTGTGCTGGTCCTGCTTTCCTGGGTGAGACTCTGCACAGCCTGTGGGAACTGATTCACCAAGCCCAGGGGGGAAGGAATTACAAGATCTCCTGCAGGATGGGGTTCGCAGTGCTCTCAGACCACTGGGATTCAGCCCCTCGTGCTGCAGAGAGGCCGCCTCCACCAAGGCCCGTGCCAGCCCTGGGCTGAGAGACTCCCTCCACCACTCTAATCTGACTCCTCTGCTTAAAAGTAATTTTTAAGCCACAATTTTAGACTTCCTGACTGAGTGGGGATTTTTTAAACAACATTTTCTGAGCCAAATCCATCAATTTAGGAAAACTCACACATACAGAAATGCACAAATATATAATCTGTGTGCAGTTCTGTACCACTCAATAACACGTTTTTTTTTTTCCCTTTGGACTCCACAGCCCCTCTTTAACATGGAAAACCCATTTGTCTACCTCACTGGATACTGAGTGGATGAATACATTAACTGCTTTGCAGCACGTTGGCCTGGTTTATTCCTGGTCAGGAACATCAGCATATCTGCACCTCAGCCAGACTCTGGGAAATCAGTGAACCACGTAAACCACAGCACCGTGGGGAGACTGAAGTGAGCTAATGCTCAGCTCATACAAACCACGTGGTGATTGAAACTCAGGAAAAGAAACTGATGACAGAGCCAGGTAAAACTGGCACAATCCAGTGTATTCGTGGAGTTAAACTCCTATCTTCCATGGCAAGGTGAGACAAAAATGGCAGGCTGTCATCGCTCTCTCTATTTTTATTTCCTCCCTGTCACTCAGTACCAAAATGCCTTTTTTGTTGGAAATTCTGTCTGGTCCATCCCAAAGGTGGTGCCTGGTGCCTCCTCTTGCTGCTCTGAAGCCTTCCTGCCTCCCTTTCACGGGCACAGACATTTTCATGAAATAGTAGTGAGCAGAACCCCCAAACCAGCCACCACAGAGACATCTCCTGCTGTGTAACTTGGGAGGGACTTCACACTCTCAGACTATCATTTCAGTCCCTGGAATCTTCCATGGTGGGAGTTCAGCAAGAGCCAAAGGCATTTCTCCTTGCAAACAACATTGCAAGGCACTTCTCTCTGCCTCCCCATTTACAGTAGAGCTCCCACTTTCTCTTTCTTACCATGTTCTTTTTACCCCTTTTGAACTCATGCGGCAACACACATCTTCCCCAGTGGTGGCTTAGTAATGGGTTTGGCTTAAACCACTTCCTCTTGCCCTGTCACTCCATGCCCTTGTCCAAAATCCCTCTCCAGCTTTTTCAGGTACTGGAAGGGTCAATAAGGCCTCCCCAGAGCCTTCTCTTCTCCAGGCTGAACAACCCCAATTCTCTCCACAGATACAGAACTTGTCCCTTTAAAACAGCAATGTCAGAGGGTTTGTTTAGGAGCTGAGAGGTGTTTGGCTGCTTCAATTCTGTCATTTTGTAAGATCACGTGATTCAGATGTGCACTGGAGCAGATTCTTGTGGATTCATATGGCATCAGCTTACTCTGAAATCTGGCTGTTGATGACCTACAGGGGAGGTTTTGGCTGAAGGAATAGCCCAATGTTAGGCATCACTTTAGCTGCGGATGGCTGTGCCATAATTTGTAGATAAAACCCTGGATGCTTTCAGCTTGCACTCAAAGGGCCTCATGTCAGGTAACAGGAGTCCAAAATAGTAGAAAAATGAAGGATTTTAAGTCTTTATTGTGAGAAGAATTCTTACCCCCATCTGCAAGTGTACAAGCATGCAGGTAAGTGTTTATGCTGTCGAAGTCGAGTGGAAAATCCCTCTGGGATGGGAGGAAAAAAGATTCCTTTATGCCTATACAGCAAGAAATCTCAGTGGTCTTGTCATCAAAAGAACAGGTCTGGAGCACGATCCTGCAGTTCAGGATAGAGGGATATGGAGATGCCCTGTCTTTGCCTCTGGAAAAGAGGCAGGTTGGGGTCCTCACCTGCGGCACTATTTGATATAAACACCCATTTTGTGGCAGCAAAGCCACCTACAAGCACTGGAATAGCTCCATCCCAGCTTGGGACTCCCTCTTCACCCTTTATACTTCTGTACAGCTGGGGGCCAAACTGGAAGCATCCCATTCCCAGTGAATTGCTATCACAAAATTATGTGTATTTTTCTTCTGCTATGTTCCCAGTTGGGATGTTTTGGTTTCTTTCCTAGTTCAGAATATTTAACATATTTTAACTTTTGTGACAGAAAAGAGTTTGCTATTGCCATTACATCAAAAATCAAGTCAGCACCTGGTGGGTTTGGCTCGCATTAGTACCTTCTGGTAAAGAAGTGTGAAGAATGGAATAGAAATACCGAGTCCCTGAACACAAAACCCTCCCTGCCTGCAAGGACGGTTCCCCCAGTGCCTCTTTTTGATGGCCATAACCCCTGAGCAGGTGGCAGCTGAGAGGACAAGCGCAGGGCTGCATTTTTCTGTACAAAACAGAATGGGAAGTGCAGTCACTGATGCTGGTTGGGGGCTGCCTGGTACTCTTCAATTTTTTAATAACCTTCTCGACTGGAGAGCCAACTTCCCCTTTGATGTGGTGCTGGTTTCATTAGTACTTGCTCAAGGTGAATACCTGATTAGCCACGGGGAGCTGAAAGGGTCTTTCTTCTCCTTTTTATTTCTACTTTCATAATACTTACTACAGACAAAGAGTCCCTGTGCCCTTCTCGAGTTAGAAATAAAAAAAAAAAAGTGGTATTGGGCCAAAATAAGTGAGTTTGGACATGTTTGGCAGTTCAAACGGATTAAATCTCACAGCCACAGCTGAGCTTTTTCTGTGAGTTATTTCCCTGCTGCACTTCATGGTGTTTTCAGTCTTTTGGGGCTCTTTCCTCTCTCTCAAGTCCAGGGCAGCTGCAGAAGGGTTGGGAACAAGCATTTCATTGCCCCTCATCACAGTGGCCCTTCTGCACAAGGACCATGAGGGATTTGTGAGCACAGAAGGTCTTACCGGGGGTCTGATTCCTACACCTGCAGGAACAGAGCTCTGCAGATGGATGAGTTTCAGCAAGGTCAAGGCTCTTCTTCCAGTTTTCTGCTGAAATAGACCTGTCAACCCACTGGGAAACAGTCCTTCTGAAATGCCAGATAGATCCTAAGTGTCTTTTTATCCCTTCTTTCCCCAGGAAAGCACTGCAATAAGAGACAGATTATCCAGTCTCATATGTGAGTTCAAGAAGAGGGCTGCAGTTTGGGGGCAAAAAGTAGGAAAGCTTTGGTTACCAGAGAACTCCTGAGAAATAAAGTCATCTGACCACTTGCAAAGACTTCACAGATTTCTGTCTTTGATTTCCTTCATGATTTTGAAGACAGAAGACACAGTAACAAGTACTCAGAGGCTTCTCAGAGATGCTACAAGCTGTTGACTGAATTTCAGGCCAGTTTAGACATCACTCCTGCTCTCTTTCCAGAACCCATCAATTTGTCATTCTAGATAAGCTCAATTATCGGTGCAAAGGGAAAGAAACTACTTTCTCCTGCTTTGGAATCATAATATAATTGTAACAGCAAGCACTTAAAGAGCTGTTCTGCACTGGAGGTGCCAATATGCTCTGTAAAATACTGTATTGCAGCCAAGGCAATGGACACATGAGAAGGTAGTGACTCGCCTGTTGCAAGAGGAGGAGATGGGTCCCCTGAGGGGGATGTATTGGCATAGTTAAAGTCAGCTTTGCATGAAACCTTCGGCCTTTTCCACAATATTTTGCCATTTCACAGTAATTCTGATTTTGAACTTATTTTTCCCATTCTCCTGTTAGCATGCCAGGACTCCAGGACCCAAAGTTCCCATCTACTGGCTCAAGCCTGGGGTTGATAGCTCATGAGGCTCCATCCAAAAGCAGAGAGCCTTTGAACACTGTTCCCTAAGTGTATCTTGCAGGGACCAGCCTTTCCCAGCACCCCGCTGAGTCTGCTGCCTGTGACAGACAATGCTGCATCATTCCAGAAAATGGTGTGGAACACCACTTGTATAATCAAAGATCACCAGTGTCCTTACCAGCATCTTGCAGATTCAGAGGTTTTTTAAAGGCAGGAAGAACCAGCAGCTCAATTCTGACAGCACACAGCACAGCCTCCTCCTCTAGCCCTGCTCTCAACCCAGTGACCTGGTGCTTCCCCCACAAAGCCCACAGGCACAGGCACCACGTCACCCCTTGGTCTTCTTTGGATAAACCCAACAGACAGAGCTCCTACATCTGGCTACAAAATATTTTTGGTAGTCCTTGGGTTGTCTCCAGCTTCTCCCTCCCACCAACACCAGCTCAGCCCAGCCTCCAACATTTTCTAAACCTGAACACACAATGGGATTGCAGCGCTTCAGCCACCAAAGGCCAAAATTCCCCCCCAGGCTGCCCCCCAGCTTGCCCTGGTGGTGGGGGGACAGCACAGCTTTGCATCCCTCCACTTTAAGGTAGATTTTATTTGCTCAAATCAGTTTATTAAGTCGTGTGTCTTGCAGTGAGTGACATTCTCCCTTTTTAGCAGGATGGGATTTTAATGGAAATTGCCCTCTCACATCACTGTGAAATCAAGGTGGTTGGTCAGCTGGTAAAATCCTCTTATAGAAAGCCCAGCTTTCATTCTTTTTATGCTGCTTCAGTCCTGGGAAATTATCCCTTTGGAGCTACCCAATATATTCATTACTGTGCTGGTCCATCCTCTATCCTCTCTCCTGCCTCTATTGAATCCGAGTCCCAGCCATATGCTCCTCAGACACTGTCAGCTTCCAACACACAGACCAATCTGTCAGGATGGAATCTGAAATACTGTTATCTCGTGTTGGGTGTAATATCTCCTGGGCTAGAAAATGATCACACATCATTTGAGAAACTTCAAAGAGATTTATTTCTGGTTATATGAGACTCCCAGCATACATCTTTATGATTGAAGTCTCCCATTACCCGGTATTTCTTTCCATTTATTACGGATAAAAGCTCCAGAAGCAGCTCACCTCTTAATGTGAACCCATGGTCTGTAATCCCCTTTACAGGCACCACACACTCACCTCTCTCTATACCTCCCAACTTCTATAGTCAGGGCTTTAATATCTCTGTATTTAACAGCTAAACGGGTCACGGTCTCTTTTCCCCTCTGCCTTTTCTCTTGGGCACACACTGCTGTTCACACACACGTTGTACTCAGCAGTTTAAATGCTTCAGTCATACAAATCAGCCTCCCCTCACTCCATTTTGGCAACTGTATCAGATTTCTTTTAGTTAACAAACATTTTCAATTCCTGCCATTGTCAGAAGCATGAAGAATGAAGGAGGAAAGTGTTCATACAGCCACCGGAAATTAAACAATTTGCTTGGGCCTGTGATCTGCCTCGATGGATAAAACAAATCTGCCAGTGGCATTTTGGAAGGTGCTCTTAGGCAAACCACTGCCTCTGCCCTGCTACACCAGGCAGCATGATGGAGGAGTGCTATTAAACATTGTCAGTCAGACATCTGGGGAGTAATAAATAAAATTCATGGAAGAAATAGGATAAAAGCAGGGAGCTGCAGGGAACTCTGCAGCATCTGCAGAAGATGTTCAAAGTCAACCTTGCAGCTCCTGCTTGGAGGAAAGCCCTCTGCCTTTGTTTGGGCGTCAGCAGGAAGGGATGTTTATAGGTTGTGTCTTTTAAAGTACAGCAGGATTGAGTCAGAGCGTGTGTTTACATTGGGTTGTTGGGCGTTTTAAATATCAGCACCAAGTCCCAAGAATAAATTACTATGGTGGGAAAATAAGGTAATGTCACTTTGTACTGATGCAACAAATTTTAGTGCTGCAAAGCTAGTGGGTAACAGGGCAAGGCTGTGCCTGGTGATACACCTGGTGCAGTGGTGTTTGCTCACAAAGCTGAGCACTGGCAGGTCCACGGGATTTAGAGGAGGAAAGACACACATGGTGGTACAAAACACCACCTTATTAATGACAGCTTTTTGGTCCAGGCAGATGTAAACAGGCCAGGGAGGAGGCGTAGCCAGTAATTGCTCCAGGAGTAGGAGGCAGCCATTCCTAAAATAACCAAAACTTCCTCAAAGTCTCTGAAAACACTCTTCATAACCACAGCAAGAAGAGACTGGGACCAGTTCAAACCAGCACTGCACCGTGTACTGGGATTCCTCTCCGTGGTGGGGAGTGGTTCCCCCTTGGCAGAAAAAAACATTGACTAACCCAGGAAGAGTTAAAATCTCACTGCAGTTCACAGAATCATGAAACAGGCTGGGTTGGAAGAGACTTTTAAAATTCATCCAGTCCAACCCCCTTGCAATGAGCAGGGACATCAACTAGATCAGGTTGCTCAGAGCCCTGTCCAACCTGGCCTTGAACGTTTCCAGGGATGGGGCAGCCACAACCTCTATGGGAAACGTGTTCTTGTGCTTCACCTTCTGAGTAAAGAATTTCTTCCTAATATTTAATACCTATCTAATATCTTCATTTTTTCCAACCAGCTTCTAAGAGCCTGGGCTCAACTCCAAAGAAATTGGTCTCGATTTAGTGAAGGGGCTTGGACGTGTGTGAAACCCAAATGAATGGGCAGCAGGACCAGGTAAGAGAGTTGAAGGTGAGATCTCTAAACAAGGTGTCCCTCCCAGTGTTTTCATGGGGAGGGCCTCTTGTGCTGTTCAAAATTATTTCCTTCTGTTAGGTTTGGTTTATTCTGTATTTTTATACACCGCTGATACGGTGGAGCCCTGCCAAAAATGGATGTTAAAATGCCAAAAGGAGGAGAGGCTCTGCTGAAACCTTTCTGAGTCAGTAGGAGCCAGGAAGCAGGGAAGCCACAGGCACTTCTGTTCATGCACAAGTTCCAGCCCCAAAGTGCAGGCTCTGGAAGCTGGATTTTACCTAATCATCTGCATTAGACCCATAATGATCTGTCACAGTTTTAAGCAGGTGCACTTTTGCCAAGGCTACAAATTGCCCTGAGATATCCACAGCCCAAAATCCTAAGAGAGTCCAAATCCCTCTGTGAGGCACTAACACATTCAGTATGAATTTCACACAGAAGACCTTTTTTTATTTGTTTTTAACATGAATACTGTCCTTGGCATCCTATAAGACATGCTACATTCCCAGGGGCATAAATGGAGGTTTGTTGCAGCTTTGACTGGTCTCTTGTCAGACATACAACATCTAATTCACTGCAGTGTTTCTACTTGTCCCACTCTGGTTGGATGTACACACTCCCAACCATTCCACTACTCCTTCTGGCTGGGAGGGTTCATATCTTCTTTGATTCCTTCATCTCCTGAAAAGGAAAAGAAAAGGGGACAGTGCTGGAGATCGATCGGTGTGTGGCTCAGCCCCAAAGTTGGGGCAAGGTATCTCGAGGGACCTTTCCATTTGTACAGAATGGAATAGTGGTGTTTGTCCACAGGGAGCATCCAGTCTCTCTCCCTGGGTGTTCCTCTCATCCCAACCTGCAAATCGCCTGTGAGTGCCTACATCTGGATTTGGTTTACGATTTGCTTTTTTAGTCAGGGGAGAGAAGCAGGTTCATCTCATCTTAAATTTGGTGTCTGAACCTGCTTGGGTGAACTGCCCCCGGGATGAGTCTCTGCCATCATCAGTGGAAAGGGTTGGATGGGGCTGTGCTTGTAGGGCCCCACTGTTAGGTTCGGTCTGAGGAAAAATGTGGAGACCTTCTGGCCTCTGATCATCCTTGCTGAGCTGAGAAAGAAAGACTCTCAGGCACAGCGTGTAAAACACTTCCCTTCCCACAGCCTTTTCCTCTCTGTTTGGTGAGAAGATGACATTTCCATTCACACAGCATTCAGCACAAGGCACCCCCATTCCCATTTCATCCTTGGGCGCCGCTCTAGGAAAAATAATAAACAGCTGAGTGTGGTGGTGGGGTTTGGGAACGGTTCCAGCTCACAGTTAAAGGACAGGCCCCGTTATTTCTTGATGAATAACAGCATTTACAGAAGGCCTTTCACCCCGAGGTGCTTCACAAACTATAAACATACATCACCACATCACAGAACGGGCAAAACAGCCAACTTCAAAGTTACAGCTGGGAAAATCCCACAGGCAGCCCAGTGCAGAGAGCGACTCACCTGCCAGATACCAAAAAGCAAGGCAGTCCTACACACACGGAGGGGCTGCTGCTAGACTTAGGCATGTCCAAGCTGCAAAGTAGACCACAGGATTGTCCTTCTCCTCTCTGGAAATTATCTGTATGGTCTTTAAATGTCTGTGTTTAAACAATGCTACTCCCTCACTGCCAAAGTTGAAACCATTTGTGTTTTATTGTGTTCCAACATGTTTGTAAGGTCCATGTGATTGTTCACCTTTATTTCCTCTCCAAACAAGGGTTCCTCTCCATTTCCTTCACACATGCCCGTGCCAGCCACAAACAACTGCTGGTTGATGCGACACTACACCAGTGCAAAGACCCAAAGGAGCAACTAAAAAGATGCATAAAAGATGTATAAAAATGACAGCTAAAGGGGCCTTAAAAAAGATGATTCAGGAGTTTTTAGTGTCAGGAAAACTCAGCTGCCAAGATTTGGTTTCACAACTTTGAAAACCTCAGAGAGTGAAAGAGCCTGAAGCTGAGTGTGGAGGTGAGGAGCGTGCCCCGAAGGTGGGTCTGGAAGGACCTGGAGCCCCCTGTCCTGAGGGTCCAGCACCTTCTCTCTGACAGCAAATGTGGGATCAAAACAGGACCATGCCATGCACAGGCTGCATCGTGGACATTTCTCAGCATCACTGACCACCTGGGTGATTTTACCCCCACCTTCAGGAGCCTGGATAGGGATCAGCAAATGGAACCTCATGCTCCAATTAAGTGACACTTTTACAGAGGAATCACAGGACATAAAGTGTGTAAAAAGCCCAAGGGTTCAGAGACAAATTTCAGCATCTGACTGTCATCCTTGGTTTGCATTCACCAGTTTATACTGGGACTTTCTGCTTTCTAGAAGGTTCCCTGCCTGCCCCAGTGAAGGGGCTTCAGTGCTGGTGGTGAGCATGGAGGCTTTGCAGCCAGGACTTTTCTCCTGGTTTAGGTAGCACAATGCAGGTTCATTCATTCCTTGCTGGAACAGACTGAATCAGCAGACGGACAAGGCAGTAGAAGGACATCATTACAGTCAGGGGTGAGCAGGGAATGGTAAATTTAATTTCAGATGTAATTGTCCAAAGGAAAATGCAGATGATGCAAAAAGAAAAGCTTCTCAACAGTGTAATTTAAGGCACTAAAAAATAAGCACACAAATTTAATACAGGAACCCCCAAATTAGAGACATCTAGAAACCATCTGAACACTTTCTTCCTCACTCCAGTTTCCCCAGTGCTCTGACTGCCACAGTTAGTGCTGCAAGGCCAGGTTTGGTTTCAGAGTGATTAATGATTAGCACCAGCCACAATTTTTTTCAATCCTTTCTGAAGATCAGGGGAGGGGAAAAAATGCAGCTCAGTCAGAATTTCTGCCTCATGTTCCATGCTCTCAGCAGGGCTGGGCTCTTGGAACACCAGTGGGAGCTACAGGAGCAGAGAGTATTACCAGGAGAGGATTTGCTCCATCTCACAAGTGACCCACCCCTTTGGAGCTGATCTTCCTTTTCTTTTCTGCTATTTATATGAATAAACTCCTCCCCAAACAGTTTGCTGAGTGATAAGAACTCGGATCATCCATTACCCGCCTCGTGTCAGGCGGCTGCCGCGGTGGGAATGAGATTTGCATGTGGTCGGGCACATGGTCCTGCAATCACAGCCTCCCCTAATTGCACATTAGCATGAATTAAAGCCTGGCTGCAGGGATGTTGCTTCCCTATTTCGTCCCTGCAATGGTTTCTGTTGTGGCAGTTGCTGCTGAAAAATCCCCACTTTGGTGATCAAACCAAACCTGAAAGTGGTGTTGGGCTGCACCACAAACGAGTCCATTTTAGGCAGCAGATACAGTTTCCAGTGGAACAGCGTTGCCCTTGCTGAGTTACCTCCCTCTGCCAGTGCTTCCTGTTTTTTCATTGTCTTTGAAGCTTTACATTTATTTGTAAGCATTAAATCAGAATTTAGTTACACTAAGAAACATTGGAATTATAAATAATCTAATCCTAATACAAGTACAGAAATGAATAGGTATGGAATACTGAAAAGGTATCACTGGAGTCTCTCCTCTTAAACAGGCAGTGTAGAAGACATGATTATACATTCTTGTGCCAAGGTGTGAGAACATATCACGCCTAGACATTATCTCATTAACATCCTGTTCATTCTCAAATCTAAATCCAGATAACAATTGTTTCATTATGTGTGTATATATAATTTGTGGGTTGTCTGCCTTTTGGTGAAGTCAAGACATACAAGGCTAATGCAAATACATGAATTTCATTCCCACAGCAGACCAGCATCTTCCACAGGTCCCTTCTTCGAGGTTAAAAGGCGTATTTGAAAAGGACTTTTTTTTTTTAATTACCCTCTTTGCATCCAGGTAAATGACTGAATTGGTACTGACCATACCATGTACAGGTCACTAAAGTATGTACCACGACCTAAACCCCATTCCATCCATTCCTAACAGGGCAAATACATTCGGAGCATATTGTGCAGATGCTGCTGTAGCTGGAGAAAGGAAAGACAGTCTGATTAACCTCATTCCCTGATAAAAATCACACCAAACACTCTGAGAGAAGAGGATAAACATCCTACCTCAAAGTCTCATTTTACCCACGTTGCCCTCCAAGTGCTTGAGAAGCCACAGAGGGACTGCACTTTGTCGATATCCCAACGGAAGGCTGAGGTTACCTCCAACACACCAGAAATTTTTTTTAACACCTTCAGCTACAAATCCTTTATGGAATTACAAACAAGAGATTCTCTGGTTTCAAAAGGGTGGCAAAAAAGCAGACTCTCCTCCAGGACATGGCTCAGTGGATGGTATAACCACCTTCCGAAGAGAGAGCCTGAAACACCAGCACCGTCTGTAACAGCTTTTCACCTTGCCAAGAGCAAGGCTGGGGGGGCAAAGATAGTTTAGGTAGTGCTGTGCTGGTGTGCCCACCTTGCTGCTGATACTCAAACGTGGCAGTTGAACACTGTATCTCCCGTTACCCCATTTTTAATGCAGCTCGGGGGAGTTTTGTGTTAGATTTCCAGTCCGGCTGATGAGGGAATTGATGCTGGGCTTCTGTAAGAAATGTGTCTTGTAACAGTACAGCATGTTGATGAAGTAACCAAAACAATATAAAACCACTGTGAAACACATTAAATGGATTAAGAATTGGCTAACTTAATGTCTTAAATACAATTATAACCAGAGAAATTTTCTTTGAGTGGGTGTGTGTTTGGATAGATCCCGCAGGGACTGGTTCTTGGCTCTACGCTATTGTATTTTATCAACAACTTAGGAAAAAACCTTTAAATCATTATCAACAGATTTTTCAGATGAAAAAGGCTGGGAAAATGGTCAAAAGAAGGAAATCAGGCCACGGATACAAACAGGTAATTGGCAATCTGAAGGTAAGCAAGTGCAACCAAGTCACAAGATCGGAGAAAGAAGAACTTTGTCTAGTGGGGGCTGTGGTGGTTCTATACTGGAGAGCCATGACCAAAAAAAGGGTTGCAAGTCAAAATGAGTAATCAACTGTCCATGAACTGACCCTAATCTTTGTATGTATAAGCAGAGGAAATCCAGGGAGAAGAGGATGATAATGTTGTCTGGGTATTCCCCATCTCTTGAAACTGCTGCCAACCCATTGTGCCCTGATCTTATGTCCACAAAGCAAGTGGGAGGTTGAAAAGCTGGAGACAATTCAAGAAAGGGGCACAAGAATGTACACAAGCCTGAGAAAGATGATTTGCAGGGAGAGATTTAAGGAGCTTAGTCCATGTAGCATGTCAAAAGAAAGCTAAGGGGTGGCTGGACACTGATCTGAGAACCTCCAGGGAGAAATCCAATATCCAAAGTTGTCTTCATCCTTGCCAACAGGAATGTCCCATGTCACCAGCCTTGGTCCAAGTTCCCACACGAGGTACACGCCTTGGTCATGTCCTGCCACCTTAGGTGGGGAACACACCGACCTTTCTTTCGAGGAGAAATCCAGGAGCCTGGCCCAACCAGAGCTATGGCAGCTCTGGCAGGTCCTCCCAGCCAGCAAAGCCAGGACTGGGAGCCTGTTGTGCACCAGATTTTGAGTGTGAATGTGGCCAAAGAATTCAGGGCTGGGATCCTCCAGCTCTGTTTTCATTCTGTGGTTTCTGTCTCTGTTCTGATCCCAGTGCCAAGGAAATGTTGCATTGTTTGAGAGATGTGAATCTGGTGGCATAGCCTGTCTCTTCCAAGGCTCTTCCAAGGCTCTCATCTGATCTCTCAAGAGAGAGGCTAAACTAAGGGACAGAGATCACAAGCTTAGGCAGGGAACTGCTGTGCCTTTTCCCCCCAAAGGAAGGAAGGATTATGTACTGACCAGCTCGAGCAAGAGAAGGGAAAGGCTGGAGAGCAGCAACACTTTGGAATGCTGTACATGAGAAAGACATTAAAAATAAGCTTTTTGCTGGGCCCATATATCAGCAGCATTTATTTCCCTCATCCTACCTGGCCCTTTCGGAGACCTCTTATCTCATCACTTCAAAGGCCAGTAGTCAAAGACAACAGTTGCGCACAAAGGTCAGACAGGGGTGGTTCACATCAGGATGATCCATCTGGATGCAGATCCTGCCTGGAGTGCGGCCCCTCCCTTTGTGTGGGGGTTTTCTTCTCAGCTCTACTGGGAGATGGCTGGAAGTACAATGAGGGGGAAAAAAAACCAAAAATGGTGAATACGTAACAGGAACAATTTGTTCTTGGATTTAGAGCTGTCTATGGACAGTATGTAAGGCAGTGTTTTGAGTGAAATATTTGACTAATGATCCCTACAAGGAGTATGGAGTAATTAGTGCCTGGAAGTGATACAGAGGGATATGGGGAAGCTGGAAGCGGGTGGAACAGAGTGGGATCACAGCAGCAGCTGAGAAAAGCCCACACCATTGGAGGTAGCTTTTCATGGGGGAAAAAACTGTGAAGAAAGTATGTGCTGAAGGACAAGCTGGATGCTTTAGCACACTTTTAAAGTGTCCTTAACACATTATAAGAATGTGCTAAAAACAATGTTCCTGCCTTTTACAAGCTGCATATTTTTAATTGCAGCAAACTATTGACTTGCACAAGCTTTACACAGCATTGGTGAAACTCAGGCCGTTATACTTCAGAATAATTGCATGAATTACTTTAATATTCAAACATTGGTGAATAAACAAGTATTGTCCTGCATTAAGTTCTCAGCAAACTGTTGCTTCTTCTGGTTGAACCTTGTGGTCGCTGCAAAGACGACTTTCTTGCAGCACCTCTAAAAGCTTCCATGCAAGTGCAAATGCGACGCATAATTTGAGGTCTCTTTCGCTAATTGCCCACGCAGCTGAATTCTACACAACAGCCACATTCCAAAAAGGCAGAATCTGAGCTGTTTATTTATTTTCCCTTCAGCAGGAACGAAGCTTTCCACGAAGGAGCGACTGCAGCTGAGATGAATTCAGCATCACAATGGTGAAACAAGAAGTGCATTCATGTACCAGCACGTTCAACTGCGAGTGGCGTTTGAGCCCCTCTGCGCCGTGGTTGCTATGGCGTCTGTGGGTGGTGGTGGGGACGGCAGGAGATTCCCAGCATAAATGCCAAACCACGCTCTAATATATCTCACACTGACCCACTATTAATTCAGTGGCTGCTCTTTTATCGCTAAAGGAAAAGAAAAAAAAAACCAGCTCAACTTTCACTTCCAGAAGGGATGTGAAATTCAAACCAGCAGCAGCTGTAAGGGTGTAAATCACATGACAGAAACTTAAAAGGTTTGGGGTTTTTTGTGCTGCTGGGGCTTTCTGAGCCCATAGAAGGATTATAAGGAAATGGGAATAAGCTGATAGTCACACTAAAAAGTTGGGCTGTGCACTGGCTCGTGGACTTTCATCTTGCCATAAAATGTAAGGATTGTCAGAAATGCATATTAACTGAAATATGAGGTTTCAATTCCCTGTGAGTTTTCTCTAGGTGGACAGGAAACCTGTAGCAGAGCTGGGTATTTCTTTGGTCCTGTTCTCTTTATTTACACAAACTTTGGAGGTTTCTTTTCCTTAATCTGGAGAAGAATCAATAAAAAAAGTCTCTTTCATGGTCTTTTTCCTTGGGACTGTACTTATCATCTTTGTGCCAGAGGCTGGGACTTCTTTTTTCAGCTCCATGCAAGCCGTTCTCCATCCAGGTGTCCTCCACACACCTTTGTTTAGTCAAGGACAAGGGATTTTGTGTAATTGCTGCAATTGTTTCAATTATCTGTGTCTTTAACAAAGATCACTGGCTACTTACAGTTACATTAACTCTAACATGGCTCTAAAATAGTGTTGTGCATTGAAATATAATTATACAGGAAGCAGAAGGTATGGATTTGTGTTTCCTACTCCAGGCGAGCCCTTCATAAGCATCCTATCTGGACCATGCTGGTGGCTTTGTGCTCTCAGGGAGGTGACACCCTTCCTGCAGGCACACATTTTTGTAACAGCTCTGGAGGCTGGTATCAACAGGAATTTAGAGTCTGATGGCACTGGGCTCTTCCCAAGGGAGCAGCCTGCCTTAAACCAGGGCTTATCTGATGGCTGCAACAGGCTGTCCATGGTGAAAGGTGGGGAGTAAGACATTGCTGCTGGCACTGGAGAGTAAGATACCACCAGAAACAAGCTCAGCAGAGGATGCAAAACAGGCTCATAGGTGCCAGGACTTGTCTTCTTGCCTTTCCCTGCATTGTTTCCTGCCTGGCAGATCCTGACCAAGGTCACAGGCTGTTTCCGTCAGCCCCTAGCCCTGGAGCAGGGAATACTGGGACTATTCACGGAGAGCACGCAATCTCACTGCACAGAGGCAGCCAGGGTTTTTCTCCTGTTCTGTACCAGCATTTCAGCTCATCTGGCACTTTTCATTCAGGAGCATTAACCTACAGTCTAATATAATTATGTACTATATGCGTTTAAATTTTTAATTAGTTACATGCACTCGAGAGCAAATGGTCCCTTTTTCCCCTGATACACACACAGAACTCCTCTCAGCCTTAATGGGGTTTACATGGGTTTATCAAGTGATAATAAAAGCCTAAACGTTGGCTTCTGCTAACATTTACTGGGTAATTCCCTGCTCTCTCGGCACATGGGAAGTGTAACTGTGCACTGTTAAGTGCAACAGAATGGGGAGAAAAAACATTTAAGGTTAATTCTTGGCTTTACCCCTGTTACATACACGGTTCTCTTGGAAGTGTTAAGACAAATCCCACAGAAGGAAGCAAATCAAAGGGAAAACTGATTTAAAAGTTCTAGGTGGGTGTTTTCTCCCCTGCAAAGGGCACATCTGTACCTTGGAACAACTGGGTGAGTCTCTTTGCAGGAGGCTGCATGTTGGAGGCTGCAGCACAGAGAGTCCCTGCAGCACCTCACTCTTACTCGGAGGGGAATCCATGAAGGAGATAACACCAGCTGGGCTCTGAGGGGAAGCATGAGGAGATAACACAGCTGGGCTGATTTAATCTACTCTCATGTGCCTCCAGCCTCCCATCAGGCAGGCGTGAAGCAACAAGTACTTCAGTGCTATCCAGGCATTCCTTGGGGCTGGATACAGGGTTCAGTCCCAAAGGGTGAGACTTACCTCTCCCAAATTCAGCTGACTGCAGCCCAGGGCCCCCCATGGCTTTCTTGTCCCCACAGCACTTACATCTTTCCCCCAATACTGAGAAATAAAACTATTGCACTGAAGTTCAGTGACAGCAATTCCACCTGAACTGTGTGTTAATGTCCCTGGCTTCTCCATGATTTCTGGCTACAAAGCCTTGGCCTGTTTCTCGACCTGGAAGTGCCCTGGTCTTTAATGGTGAGAAGAAACCGCTACAAACGGGTGTGCACAAGTTGTGTCTCACCCCTGCTCTGTCCAGGCAGCTTTGGGGAAGAAAGGGCTACATTATGAACTGGATTATTGAGTCTCAGCCATTGCCACAGTTGTTCAAAACTAACCATTTTAAAGTCTCTTCATAGTAGCAGTATTTTTAATGCTTTGGGGGCTGAGTTTTGCATTAAGAACTCACTTTCTGTGGAGGTTTCTCGTGCAACACACACAAACACACAGCCTGGGTGTGCAGGTTCAGTGCAGAGTCTCGATATTGCTCTCCCAGCCATTTCTGATGTGCCACAGCAGA